GACGACATTGCATTCCGTTCGGAAAACCCGGTAAGGTGGGCAACGATCACAAGGAACGGATGCTTGCGACGCGCCAAGACATAGGAGGCTATGGCCAAGATTTATCGATGAAGGTCAGTACACGAGACCTCTCTTGCCAAGGCGACGCATCCGGACACGACCGGTCGACCGCTCGCGCCGCGTTCTCCCGTTTAAACAAATGTAAAATGTTACTCTGAACCAAAAAACCTTTTTTTTTTTTTTTCAGGTTACAGCTTTTCATGTGTGAAATAAAAATGGTGGCTGTATCTTGGTGGCGTTGCAAGCGCGAGATGCTTTTGCGGCGCAGTGGAGAAACGCTATTAAACTCTCCTGCGTCGCGTGCGCTAACGTAAGCGCAAAATTTAGCGCTAGCGTGCGCTAAAATTGCGTACTTTATTCGAAAACTCCCTATTGTCGCAGTTCATTTCATTCGTTTCTCCGTTGACGTGTCACCGTAGCTTTCCTTTCAACTTTCCTTCACTCTCCCCTCTTTTTTTCTTTCTGCGCAACACTATTGTTTGTGTGACCAACTACACCTTAAAGGGATACTACAACGAAATTTCGGCACTCATTTTTTTTTGTCTATATGTGTTCAAAGGAGCAGTACCACATCGAAGACGTCAATATCTTGTTGTTAAAAAAGTCACGAAAAGGAATTTTAAAACGAATTAAACGATTAGCAAAGACCACCTGGTGGATGTCGCTAACGCCTCGCTTGTAATGCCCGTCTAGGAACCTTGACAGCTAGTGACGGAAGTTGTGTCGCCTCCGGCCACAACGAGAGAAGAGGGGAAGGAGGAACTCCCCTCTTCCCGAGAATGCCTTTTGTGTGTCGCAGAAGTCGCTATTGTCCCCGTACAAGATTATAGAAGATTAACACGTCACTCAAAATTCGTACAAAAGCAGCCGCTTCGGTGGCTGGAACGACTAGGCCATCCTCTCGACGTCAGCCTCGCCGTAGCTTTGCTCGTCCCGAGACGACCTACGTCACGATTGCGTTGGATGTCACGTGGTCTCCGCTGGGCCTTCTCCGAGCGCTCGCCAGAGTGGGCCGTTTATAACGAGAAATACAGCCACCAGGCTCGAAATACAAACGAGCGATTGTCATTGACGGATATTGTGGATCATATTCAACCTATTTTTGAACACGACGGGAATATTTCAGATTTCGTGGAAGCATCCCTTTAAGACTTCTTGCGTTCCACTTGGACCCGTTGTGCGGACCTATGAACCAGCTCGTCGTGAGCAGTCGCCAGCGGCCATGACGGAGTTGGTCAAACTCGAACGCGGATGTCTGAACCAGCCTTTGGATGTTTTCTTCGTCGCGTTGGTTGAAGCGGCCGCCGCGTGTGTCTAGTTGCCGGCGGCCGCGCATTTGTCACGTGCTTGAAAAAAGGCCAATCAGGAGCCGAGGGTTCGCCCCGTGGTTCCTGCAAGAACGTAACAGGGAAACGACGCCCGGTGCCAGCTTGTTTCTCAGGGTGCGTGACTCACCGTGTATATGCGAACTAGCATCTGCTCCATGTCAGCCGTTAGGAACGCACGAAAATTACAATCCCGGAAAACAAAATGTCAGCCGGCCTAGCTTGCTACAAGCAGAGTATTCGTACACAGGCAGATTTTTAGAACACAAATAGCGCACAAGACGATGGTAAGTATAAGAAAGATACGAAGCGCGCACATATATAGTCTGTTGCGTGTGCCGAATAGCATGCGTGGCAAACCCCTCCCACAAAGGTTTCTCCGCGCCATGTTTTATTTATTTATCAAAACTACTTATCCTCATTGGAGGATTTTTGTAGGGTGGTACAAAACACAGATGCATGACCATAGTACAGAGAAAACAGAGTTATACAGAGGGTAACAAATATATATGAAACAAACTGAGTGGATGAGATATGGTATTTTCACATCATGAGCGCTTCGGTATCATTCATGAACTGTGTTAGCGAGCTAGCGCGGATAACGGGTCCGGGAAAACTGTTCCATTCCTGGACTACTAGTGAAAAAAATGAAAATTTAAAGCAATTACTTTTAGGTTGGAACTCCCTCAATAATTTCCTATGGTTTGAACGGGTTTCTCTTCCATCGTGAGGAATAAGGTAGTTGGATTTTTCTATTTTAGTCAAGTTATCGGCTATTTGGTAAATTAGTTTCAATCTCGCAAGCTAAGCTCTTTTTTCTAATGGCTGCACGCCGAGCACTCTACACAGCTCATATGGTGAATCACGCGTGCTGAACTTATTGGTAATGAACTTTACAGCGAGCCTCTGCACTTTTTTTTAATTTTCATATGTTCGTTTTTGTGAAGGGGAACCAAACAGGGCTGGCATATTCAAGCACATGTCGAATAAGTGTCGTGTAGGCCAACAGTTTGGTATCGCAGGAAGCGTATTCTAGTCGCCTTCTTATGCACCACAATTTCGTTAGCGCATTTTTTTCGTCACTGCGTCTATGTGCAGGCCCCAGTCCAGATCCATTGTGACCAAGGCACCCAGGTACTTGAAATCCGTTGATCTTATAAGAATGATTCAGTGTGTTTTTCTTCTGGACATGGCTACTGTGTCTGTGTTGACACCAGTCTGAGATCTTAATTGTCCAAAGCGTTTTGTAATTTTAAGTGGTCCGAAGAATTTGGTATTTTAGAATATATTATACAATCGTCAGCAAAGAGTCTAATGTTGATGTCGATGTTATCAGTTATGTCATTAATGTAGAGCAGGAAGAGAAGCGGGGGAAGTACTGAACCCTGAGGTACTCCGGAACACACGCTCTTATTAGCTGAGCTATTTCCGTTAATTTCCACAAATTGAGATCGTCCAGAAAGGTAGTCCTTAATCCAATTTACAACTTTTCCGTCGCCAAAGATTTTGGTTAAATTTAAAAATATTTTATTGTGGAAGACCCTGTCGAACGTTTTTGACAGGTCTAAAAGATAACATCCACCTGGATTCTTCGAGTTATAACCGAGGAAAAGCCGTGCACGCATTCAATGCACTAAGTGACGGTTGACAATCCGGATCGAAAACCGTGCTAGCATGCACCTAAAACGTTGTTATGTATCGGTTGCCCTGAACTACCACCGCGAAGAGAAGCCGCAGCGGGTAAAAGGTTTGGCGCCCCGATCATCTAGTGGAAGGTGTTGGGAAGAAAGAGGGGGACCGAGTTTAGTTTGAACTTAAGGCCCATACGCACATTCGCGTTTGAACGCGTTTGGGTGCGTTGCGGCGTCCTTGCGGCCAGGAGCGGTCGCTTGCGATGCGATGCGCGCCTACCCGCAACGCTTGGTAGCGCGACGCAAGAGAGTAGAGACTCTTAGAAGTTTTGGAAGTTTTCCAAATTCCAACTGCGGCGACAACACGTTGCCCTGTGATGTTGCCAACCAGGAACGAAATTCGTTACATAAAAGCTAAAATCCGCGAAAATAGCTACATTTAAAGCGCCATAAAAAAAAAAATAAAAAAAAAATAAACTTGGTTATTCGTAGCTGAAGAAAGTTTTTGGTAGCTAGTTGACCCCAAAAGTAGCTAAATCTAGCTACAAAATAGCAAAATGGGCAGCACTGGTCGTCTCCTCTCGATCTGAACTACTGATCTCTATTGTAGTAGGCTGGATCGCGGACCGCGGCCTCGGCAGCTGGGGCCGAGTGTCGCCACCGGCGGCCATTGATTGACACCAGCCAATGCTTGGGACTCTATGGGAAGAACGAGAAAAAGTGCCGCTTCTCCCGTTTCTAAGCTGTTGTCGGCACTGGAACTTTTGGGGTGCTTTTCGATAAGCCCGTCAAACAGCTTGCGTACAAACATTAAAGCGGACAGCCCTCGCAGTTCTTATAAATAAATATTTTGTGGTCGAGGGTGACTCCGCTGTAGTGCAGCTAAATGAGGCGAGAGTCACCCAAAGTTACCGAGGGGTCGGTGGCGGTTTGGTTGAGTTGGGTTTAGCAGACGACAAGCTCCAAAGCTTTGCTACGCGGAATTCACTCACTCCCGGAAAGCCACTGTCGAGGTGGAACTTCTTTGTCATACATCAACTTCTGGGGTTCCCCGAGGACGGTCTCATTAACGGCAAGTTCCTTTGTTTACTCCACCACGAGAGCAAGCTTGCCAGTTCGGCCGTAGGTGCTCCGGTACGTTTCATTTTTTTAACCGACGTTCGAACGTTTGACAAATACCGATTCGATCTCCAACCACCCGAGATAATGATTGCAGCACACCATAAAATGCTCGCCTCCGAGCACAGCGTACATGCTTCAATATTCTTACTTTTGTGCGTTTCTCCCATAGACTTGCGTGTATTGCCTGGTGTCAAGCAATGGCCGCCGGTGGCGACACCGACGGGCTCCCGATCCGCGATCCAGCCTACTACAATAGAGATCAGTGATCTGAACATGCGCAGTCGACGGGTCGGCGACTCTCCACGCGCCGCCACCATCGCTAGGCCACCGCCACCGGACGCCGGGGCCATGGCCTTATCTCTCCGCCATCTTTGCATCCCGACTTGCAAGCGCTCAGGTGTTGGCTGTTTTCCTTATTGATATTCAGACTAAAAAGGACGGCTGAACAGCAACTTGCACTTCATACGGCGGTGAAGAGACACTTAACGCCATTTGAAGTGTCCTATTTGGACAGGCCTTCACCGGTGCCGACAATCTACAATTATGAAACAAGAAAAGAAATCATATTTAGCTCTTTATTAATTACCTAGCCACTTATCACGTAAAACATAATAAGCGGTGTGTTATTTCTTCTTTGTTGCACAAGAATCAAAACTCTGACGCGCGCCTCCCCCCCCCCCCCCCCCCCTTTCTTTCTCTGTCTCTCTCTCTCTCTATTCGCAACATGGCAAATCGCGCATATTTTATTTTGAATAACTACAGAAATTGTTATTAGAAAAAACATTTGCAAAACAAACTTCAACATTGCGTGATGATAATTACTTTCTTGGGGTCTGTTTCTAAGCGCTTGATTTCGATGTAGGTTCAATATATGGCGCTTCAGAACTGAGGTACACGAGCCAGGTTGTATGGCCAAGCGACAACTGCAGCGCAAAGTTGAAGTTCTTCAATCACAATACGCAGATTTGCGCCTACGACCGCTACTCCGATGCATGTGTGGTAAAGTATTATGTTTTTGACTTCCGCTGTCGAACCTTTAACGTCTCATCGGACATAGGAGTATACTTAAGCGTGTAATCTTGTTTCTTTTGTTTAGTTATACGTTTGCTTGGCTCGAATTTAAATGCCTATTTAGTTACGAAAACTGGGATCACCCTAGTTGAGCATTATACGGGGTGGTTGTTTTAATTCAAACAAATTCAGTAATACAAAGCAGTCAAAGGTCACTAGAGCCGCTTGTGCAGGCGAACAGCCAAGGAGGGAACATAATAATAATAATAATAACAATCTTTATTTTCCATTTACAATGGTGGAGGCCGAGACAAAAAGCCGCACAAAACGGCTTGACGAGCTCTCGGCCCCCAAATAATAATGTAGAGGCTAATCGTCATAAGTCGAACAATTAATTTTATTTCGCTTTTTAGTTAGTGAAGATAAACATTATTTCAATTAGAAACGTTTTGAGCATCATCAAAAAACCACTAAAATAGTTTGTTTTAGAAGAACTTGATGAGTGAGGATGCGCTAAAGTTGCCACTCGCCAGAGTTGTACAAGATACTCAAGAAAATTACTTAAGTTAAGTTACTGAATACCAGGCTAGAAAGCAAATGAGTAAAGTACTAAATAGCAAAATTTCAAAAGTATCTGAGTAGAGTACTAAATACTCATAAAGGTAACTCTTTACTTCCAAGATACCCTCCAGTTACAAATTGTTATAAAAAGCAAAAAAAGAAAAAGAACCTTTACTCAGAAGGTTTCCCCATCCCTCCAATCAGTGTAAGAGAACAAATGTCCTCTCGCCCCTACCCTTCATCCAGGGGCGCCCCCCCGTGCCGGAGGATTATTATGGGTGGAATAAAAAATTCATAAACCATTCTATCTGTAAAGGTGGATGACCATCCACCTTCACTGAGTGGAATGAACCACCGAAACTGTTTAGCACACGACACAGACGTACGTATCACAGAATTTTGAACAAAGATACGAACACATTTATGCACCATCTTCATCGGTGGCGTTTGCCGCCCGCCGCCGTCGCTGACATTCTCGTTGCCATTCCCGCCGTTGCTCTTCGTAGCCGCGTTGCTCTTCGGGAGTCCGGACCATACGCCGCCTCCTCATTACGACGAGAAGTGAAATTAAAAATGGAGAACGGCGACTTGTCTTTCTGGTTTTTTATATACATTCGCGTGGACGACTATCGCCGCCCCGAGGAACCGGAGGAAACTAGACACGCCCGACGGGACTGCCACTCCGGGAGAGCGGAAGGAAACGAGGCACGCAAGCGCTTGGAACGACGACAAAGAGAGGGCGCTGCGAGTGTTTGTTGACGCACATGAAAAATACACGGAACCCTAGCCATATAAAGCTTCGCTGTAAAACGCCAGTAGGAAGGAGAGGGGACGAGCTTCTTTGCGCTAACTTGGGGACGAAATATAAGCCACCATAGAAACAAAGGCGATGTCTCCGGAGCTGTAGGCAACTGTCGACCTCCTGAAAAAAGCGGAACTTTTAACGAGTGAGTACAAGTTACTCGCCAAAAATATCTAAGTTAGAGTACTGAGTACTGACTTTTGAAAGTATTAGAAAGATACCAAGTTAATCTCAAAAGTATTTAAGATACAGTAACTTGAGTAGAGTATTTAAGTTACGTAAGAGTCTGCCACTCTTACGTAACTGGCCGTTTGAAAACGGTGATAAGATTATCATCCGCGTTTTCACACTGCCAGTCTTGAGCCTGTTGTACGAGCGGTAACTTTAGCGCACCCTCGCTCATCCGCGCCTCAAGTTTTTTTTTTTTTTTCTTTTTTCAACATCAACTTATTTAGTGGCTTTCGACTATGCTCAGGAAGTTTCTCATTGGAAATGTATATTTATTTTCACTAATTAAAAACATTAATTAACGATATTTATTTAAGTACTGGACTTGTCGTGACGAGTAGCCCTCTATACAATGTTCCACTGGCCGTTTAACGTATCTGCACAGAGCTTTCATGGCCTTTCCTTAAATAAATCTGTTCGAATTAAAATCAAACACCCTCCAGTCTTCAGTGTTGATCCTAATATAATTTGCCAAATTGACAACATATCTTTGCAGCGGAGTACATAGAGGAAGGTAACATAAACTATGTCGTAATGTAAATTCCGAGACAAGAAAAATAAAAAAATAGGTTTGGGTTATTCTGTTCCCTATTGGACCAGACCACCACGTAAATAGTTAGAATCTAGTGCACCGAAGTCTACTTCGTAATGGCTACGAGTATTAATCAAACCTAGATATACAGCAGTCCGAAGGACCTAGGTCAACATAACGAGTATTATTTCATATGGCAACGACAACGTATGTGAAACAACAAAAATGAAAAAGCAGCGAAACGCAAACCCGAGTGTAGCGGGGTGCACTGAATCGACGGCGGCTACCGAGAGTTTCCGAAGGGACTCGCCGATCGCCCGCAGTGTGAACGTCGGTGGTCGCTTGTCGCATGTCGCTACAAAAGTGGCGCGTTCACAATGGACAAAAATTAATCTGTGTCTTCTATAAAACAAAAAAAAAAAAAAAATATTTTCTTTTTTGACTGCGCGCTAGTTTTTATTATTTAAAAAAATGAAACAAATCGAAGGTCAAAGTGCCCCTCAACTCCCACGCCATCTTCCGAGTGATGTCAGTGTCCCACCTGGTTTCCCTTTGAGCCCGCTCCCTCCGCGATCGTCAACTTTGGAAGGATTAGCATCGCCGAAGGTGGCGATGAGCGATCGACACAAAAGGCGGTTGGCGCGGGGCTGTCGGCGAGTGTACAGGGAGGGACAGATGTTGTTGGCTTCCGTTTGTACTCCGGTGACGTGACACCGCAGTTCCCCGAATTGCCACACGCGGCTGTAGATCGGCAAATAATTTGTTTGTTTGTTTCGTTTCTTTCACTTGTGCCTAAATAAGCAAAACAACAAAAAATACAAAATGAACAAAATGCATACTGCGACATGGTTCAAGACTTTGAACCCTGACGTTTCTAGCTTAACATATGCAAATAAAAATAAACGGCATATGTGATTGTCTTGTGTAGTTGGATAAGATTCCACCACACAACACGATAGACTGTTGTACACGTAGAACTCACATCCGTTTTAATCATTCGGTTAAAGTCGTCCAATCAACACCTCCTACATAACAAGGCTGACGTGCTAGATTATCTACGTCACCTGCCCGAGGCCAGCAACGTAAGACACAAATTATAGACGCAGCTGCCGTGTTCGGCTGGGACTGGCCGATTGAACACGACTTCCGGCTGGACGCTGACTCAGCACTCGTGTACAATATGTGCACCGGCCCCCTCTACGCGACGTAGAAAACCCAGCGATGCGGCCACGCTAATTATCTAATAGATAAATGTCGCTTCCATGTGGAGCCTCGTTCATCAGGGAAAAAAATAAACACGGTCACTCTAATCATAGCACTGATTGCTGCGTGATCTCCTGGCCCGTTTGTACCGTGATTAATATCACGAAATCGGCACATATATGGCCGCCTCAAACATGTATACAGTCCCCACCAATATGAAAGACCCACTCGGAGCGAGTGACCGAGTCGGTGGGTGGTGGGGGCACGGCGCGCTCGACAACGCTAAAGCACCTCGATGTGTTTGCGTTTGTCTTGCAGGTAGCGTCAAATGCGCCAGTGCACGAGGCACGTGTCTGGAGCGGCCCTTAAAAGCAAATGGAGGCGCAGCACCCAAATGAGCGGCCCTCGGAAGCCAATGGCGGCAGAGCACCCGCTCGTGTCACGTGTCTTGTGCGTTCCTTTAACAAGGGTTGGCGGTACTTGAAAGCGTGCATTTTATTAAAGCGCATCCTGAATCGGCGCGCACTGACGAAGCGCCTTCCCTGAGAGCGAAATATGGAACTGTCCGATGGGCTGCACAGCGCCGACGCCAGCAGCCACGCGCTCCGAGTAGATCTTTCAAATTGGTGGACACTTGGCAAAAGCGCGCCAAACGTATATGGAACACGTGAACTGCGTCTTTTCTAGTGGGACCGCTATCCTGGCGGCAGCTCCGAGCAACGGTTTCGTGGCGTAGCACTCAACAAACTGACCCGAAGTGCTACGGGTCAAGGTGCCGTTGTTCAGTTTCCTCCATATGATCTCTATGGTTTCCCCCGAGAGAACGCCACCATGGTGCGCAGAGTACAACACTACAGATGGTTTGCGTGTTCCGTTTAGGTTCGATGATCACTGCACTGGCTAATCGTTCATGCTTCAGCAATGATGCCCTGCCCTGACTTATCTCACTCGCAGGGCGACTCGGGTGGACCCCTGATGATAAAGAACGGCGATGTGTTCGAACTGATCGGCCTCGTCTCCAATGGCATTGGCTGCAATCGACCAGATATGCCGGGTGGATACACTCGGATTACGCGCTACCTGAAATGGATAAAGAAGGCACTCAACCACAGTAACAGCTGACCGGAAGAATAACTTGTTTTTCACAGTGAAATAAATCTGAGTGTTAACTTTGTCTTTATAATATACGGATATATACAAGAACGGCAGGGAGGCATTTCAGTTGTCCCGCCTTCAGCGAAAGCTTCCTACGTGCACTTTGGTATCTCGTGGGCTTCGAGCGTGCTGGAAACAGCAAGCACTCGAAACAAACGCGCGCCGCTTTTTTTCTTCTTTCAACATCAAATAAAATGTTGAGTGTATATTTCCACCTACTAAGGGTGATACAAAAAGTTTGGTGCACTTTACCCATTTTTAGTTTGAAAAACATCTTCAGCAGCTATAGTCGGTTACAAGTCAAGAAGGTAGGAGAAGCTCCTCCCACAAGCGTGATGCGCCCGTTTCAAATCTCTCCGCAGTCGAAAGAAGAGTTCACTGGAAACGCTCCTTGTTCCGCTTCAGTGGATTCCAACTTGTCTCCGATTCCACTTTTTAAGAAAGCGACCTTTGTATTTATCAGAGAGGGAACCGAGCCCCTGAAAGCAGCCTTTGTATCCATCGGGGGGGAAGCTAATCCCCGAAAGTCGTATTTGTTTCCGTCGGTGGGGGAGAACTCTAATCTCCCTCTCGTGCCTTCCACAATGCTAAGTAAAAGTCGAAAGATAAAGCAAATGTGTACAGAAAGGCAAGCCCTTCCTCGCGCGTTGGCCGCGACGTCACGGAAACGGTGGAACGCTATTGGATGCGGAGGTGGCGGAGGGATATCTGATTCTCTTTGAGGGGCATTTGCCGCTACCTTCTTGGCCTGTAACTGACTATAGTTGAAAATGTCGAACAGCATATCGCACGCAGGATGTGCCGGTAGATACTGCTTTCTGCAATCTTACAAGATACGAATGGATGCAAAGGCAACCCAGTTACGACTGTTGTTTTTCTATTTTAAATAAATCGGGTAGGTTACTTCTCCTTCTATGTTTCCGAATATAAAAATTAATTGGGAAGATGTTTCAGCGAAGCCTTTCTAAAATCCCAAAAAGTAAAGTGGCTGTGAAAAAATTAAGGGAATAAACTGCCGGTAACAACGATCTTCAATGATTGAAACAAAAAAAACATACTATTTATCTAAGATTTACTAACTTCCTTTTTAGTGAGTGAAAATAAATGCATGGTGCATTAATTATTGCATTTATGCATTAATGCATAAATGCAATGAATTTGCTAAGCAACATGGAAAACCATTAATTCAACTCAATTTAGAAAGATATAAACCAGAGGCAATATTCTACGGCGGTCCGAAAAGAAAAAAAAACGCTCTATTTGGAAGCATTTCTAGGTTTCGGTTTCTTATCGGGCGCACCTTTGCGCCCGCGATCCTGCTCCCTGGTGGCCATAGAGATCATACATACCACTGATCTCTATGATACATACTAACTCTAGAGGAAAAGGTCCGCCATTTTCCCATACATTCTGGCTGCCGCAAGCGGCGGATCATGCAGGCAGACCCTCGGGGTCCCAAACACGGTTACATCATCAGAGCAGTTTCGTGAACTTCAACAATTCACGAACTTACCGGTGGAAAGATATTCACGTTCCTTTCGAAGCTTTCTTTTTGAAAAGCGCGCAGATGTACGGCCTCGCGTTAACGCTAAACTAAACCATATACCCGGCTTCGCCGGTGGGGCGCGGCTGGGCGCGGTTGAGGAATACGAAACTGCGCAACCACCAGATTTCCGAGATTTCGACAGAAGGGAAGTTAATGCAGCGTAATGACTTTATTGCTTTTTATAAGCGTTAGAATAGCTCATAATTTAGTTTACAACGTTAAATTATTACTGTTTATATTGCTGAGAGTTTTCACTCTTCGCGTTTACCATGGCAACGTTGCTTTCTTTCTCTCGTGTTCTGTCGCTCTCTTTTGCGTTCGTTCACTCGGGACCCAGGATGTCGGCGCACGGGATTTGCCACTCCTCCTCACCCACCTTTACCCCCCTGCTGGTGGCCGAGGCGAGCAACACGCGTGCGCCATACTTCCTTCCATCCTACGAAGGAGGAGAGGTCGTGGCTTCGCACCTCGGCCACTAAGGTCACTCCACTGGGGAGCATAACCGCGGGCGCAAAGACGTAAAATGCTGCCCCTGCCTTATACCTTATACCGACGGCACCGCGCCCCGTGGAGAAATAGTGCAACCAGCCTCTGCTGCGCTGTCCTTGCGCAACGCAGCAGAGGCTGGTTGCACTATTTCTCCACGGGGCGCAATGCCGTCGGGGCCGAGGTGCGCTCTGATTGCAAACCGAAACCTAAAAACCCATTGAATTTGTGTGGTTTTTCAGAATGCCTTAAAATGCTGCGCGTTTTCTCTATCGTTCTGCAGTTTGTTGATTAGTGTTTTCGATGATGCTGGGCAATTTTCTAATTGAAACCATGCCTTTAAACACAATATTAAAAAAGTTAATTACGCAAAAATAATTAACAATCTAATTACCCCGACTTTAATAATTTTCTTAAATAAGCCCCTGGCCCAAAACCAAAACGACACAAGCCTTTTTTTTTTTTTTGCGATGCGCAGTTTTTGCAATATCGAATTTGTCCACCTTTCGTGAAACACCCTGCATTTAATTTCACTAATTAAGGTTTAGTAAATTTTACTTAATCATTTAGCTAATGAGTATGTTTTCGGCAATCCTTGAAGTCGGCCTTGGCTAACAATTTGTTCCAGGAGAGTTTTTTTCTTCAATTATTTTATTTTTAGGGATTTTTGAAAGCATCCACTGAAACAACCAGTATAATCGAGATACTTGCTCAATAATTCACTACAGCTGCTGAACATAAGCAGGGGTGGAACTCATAAAATGTACTTTCCAGCAGCCTCGGGAGCAGCTGAAACAGCTGTTTTGGAGCAGGTTGGGAGCAGCTAAAACTACATTCTGGAGCAGGCTAGGAGCAGCTCAGATCAGTTTTCGTTGCACTTCAGCTTGTGTCTTAGACGAGCACGGGAGCAATTTCAATTGTGCTTAGCAACACAGATGAACATGAGTGGTTAGGGACCTATAGCCGGTGACAGGTCAAGAACGAAGTGGAAGCTCCTCCCACCCCTTTCCACTTCAGCGGAGCAAGCAATAGAGAGGAGGTCGCCTCCTCTCCAGCGTTCGCTCTACCAAAGTGGAAAGAGGTGGGAGGAGCTTCCACTTTGTTAGATGGGATAACAGTGCAACAGATGCGAAAACTTCGCCATAACGAGAACCAAAGAGCAAGTACCATAAGTTTCTGAAGATAGTGTCCTTGATATTTTCTGAGTGGCTTTCAGCTGCACAAAATGCAAACCAGCACTGCTTATAGCACAACCCACACGTGCTCGACATAGTAATTATATGTGCGAACCACGTGACGTGCGTAAGCAACGGACGTGCAGTTGCGCGGAGGAACAGGGCAACAAAATTTTGAGTTTGTCCTACTATACAACTCAATAGCGAAGCAGCGGACGTATTCGAAGCGATGAGCCGGAGCAAGATTAGAGTACGCCGAGCAGATCTACCGCTCGCGTGAGAACTGCTGGCCGGCAAGGGTTCGGATCGGACCGCGTTTCAGTTCAATCAAATCACGATTTATCTTGCAGGAATGCGGTTCCAACTTCTAACGATGAAGCACTAAAAGGAATCTTGCTCATTTGTTTTCAACTGGCTGACGTCCGGAACCCGGGCCGCAAAGGCAAAAATTGAAATATTGAAATTTCGTTCGGAAATGAGTCAAGCATGACGGATAATAACCGTAAATGATAATCGCACGTTTGTATTTTGAACGACTGGCTATGTTTTTCGTTCCAAACGCTGCACTCGAGCAAGCGCTCGAAGAGAAGCGAGCGGAGAGCGCGGTGCGTCAAGGGGTATCCGGCGCAAACAAAAACAGAAAGAAAAGATTTCCCGCGTTCGTGGAGTAGCAAGGCAGGTGTGGTTATGAGCTTTGCCCTTGGTGGCGTTGTCAGCGTTGTGATGGTGTCAATAGCGTCAGCGCGCTACAACCGAGCGGTTTCGAAGTGCCCGTGGGGTGACGAGCGTGTGGCTGGCCCAAGGAGCACGTAGCTTCCAGAACACTGTCAGCTTAGGGCTGAACGGGGTGAGGAAAGATTCAGATTCAAAAGGCGTTTTTATTGTCACAAATATAGAGTGAGGGTGAGGGGAGTATGCCGAGTGACATCTTCGTCTGGGCATGTGGCGCTAGGAAAGAGTATGAAGGAGAAAAGAATCTACACATATACGTCCAGCTTCGCTTCTAGCACCAAGTTTAGGAGACTAAGCTGGCCGTTTTCTTTGCCTGATGGCTTCTTTGGGTGAACCCAGTCATCCAGGTTCTGGGCATATATGGGTTTGAACTTGGTCCGAATTTGTTGATAGTAGGGGCATTCCCATAAGAGATGAGTCATGCCTCCTTTTATGTTGTTCGTGCATTTGTTGCACGTGCCGGAGCGTCTTCCTTTGCTCCATGCGGCCATGCGTGCCGGAGAGCGGGTGGCGCCTGCCATGATGCGGGTGAGGAGGACCTTGTCCCTTCTTCCGATCCCTCTCGGTAGAAGGTCGGGCGTCTGGGGCAGGCGTTCCCACAGTCTTGTCCTGTACCTCTCCTTGATTAGGATCCTCTCCTCGTCAGGATCATACTCTTCGTCATCACATAACGTCTTCCCATTACCGGGTGCGGCGTATCCGTGGTCGTGTGGTTGTGAGGATGTGGGTGCTCCCCCTCGCTCGCGGAAAGAAACGAGCGCCGCGCGAGCGAGTTGATGCACCTTTTCGTTGCCGGGGATCCCTGCATGGCCCGGGATCCAACCTATCTTGATGGTGGTGCCAAGTTGACGTAGTTCGGCTGCCATCTTCTTAATTTCCTTGACCTTCCTGCTTGCGCTGGAGGCTTTCTTACACTCTCGTACCGCCTCCTTGGAGCAGAGGTCGGCATTTTAGGTCGCCCTCACTCACCCTCACCCTCACAGCCACACTCACCTAAGCCCCACACTCACCCTGACCCTCACAGCTGC